TGCCAGGCACTGCTGGGCACACAGTGATGAACAGAAACATGTTCTCCTAGAACTCCTAGTGTAGTGGGGTAGGCAAACTGACTTAAGTGCCAGGAAGGAAAAGAACACAGAATTTTGATGGGGGTGGGGGTCAGGAAGTTCCCCTGAATCCAGAGTCATGCTAGAATTAACATCTAACAGAATAGGACACACTAGGCAGATGGCAGCAAGGGATAGAAGCAAAATGGTTTCCAGATGGAAGAACAACATATAGAAGGCCTGCGGGCAGGAAGGCACGTAGAGAAACACAAGGCAGGATGGTGCAGAGTGAGAAGAACTTGTGGCTTGAGGCTGGGCAGGAAGGCAAGGCCAGGCCACCCAGGGCCTTGCCTGTTCTTTAGTCACTATCCGAAGAACAATTGAGGAGTGTTAAGCTGGGGTATGACGATCATTCATCCAAAGTACACTTGCTGAATGCTAATATGCCAGGAACTCTCCAAACAGACAAAAACCCTTCCTTTCAGGGGTTTATGCTTTGTTTGGAGAAGACAGATAAGAAACAAGTAAAATATATACGTGCTAAGGAGAAAATGGAGATGAGGTTGCAGGCTGAGGGAGGGGTGCTAGAGATAAGGGAAGGGTGGGCTATTTAAGCAGGGTGGGCTAAAGAAGGCCTCCTTGAAGATGATATTTGAACGGAGACCTGAAGGAGGTGAGGGATTCGGCCATACAGATTACCAGGAGAAGAACACTGCAGCCAGCTGAAAGCCTTTGCAAAGGCCCTGAAACAGGGGCTTGCTTAGTGTCCTGTGGGAACCACATGAGGACAGTGTTAAGAATCTAGTAGACAAAGTCAGAGACAGCAGCAGGGAGCCAGGTCACACAAGGTGGCTATCACAACACTGTCTTTTACCCTTGAGATGAGAAGGTTTGGGAGGTTTTGTAAGAGAGGGGTTGTAATCTGGCTTCCCTTTAAAAATGATCCCTCTAGACGCTGCACTGAAGATAGACTAGGGTCAGGGGGTGAACCAGTTGGGAGGGTATGACTATAATTTAGACAACAGTGGCTCAGACCAGGGTGATAACAGTGGAGCTGGTGAGAGTGGTTGGATTCAGAACAAACATAGTGGAAAATCAATGGGATATGCTAATGGCTGGGAGGTATAATATGAGAGAAAGATAAGAGTTAATTAGGATGACTTCAGGATTTTTAACCTCAGCAACTGGTAGAATGGAATGATCCTTACTGATATGGAGAACACTGATAGAGAAGCAGGTTACAGGGTAAAAATCAGTTTGTTTTGGACACATTGGGTTCGAGATGCCTATTAGAAATCCAACTAGGGATTCAAGTATATCTATATATCTGGATATTTGAGGATTTAATAAACATGAGTCTGGAGTTGAAGGGAGAAGTAAAGGCTGAAGACATAAATTAGGAAGTAGTGTACAGATGTATTCAAAGCCATGAGACAGAGAGAATGAGATCACTTATGGATTGGAGGTCAATAGAGAAGAGGTCTGACAACTGAGACCTGGGGCACTCCAATGGTAAGAGGTTGGGGAGATAAAGGAAAACAGCCAAAGTGGATGGAAGATGAATAGCTAGTGTAGTCATGGGAAATTGGCTGTGAAAGGCTACTCTGACTGCCACATGTAAAATGGATTGGAGGGGCCACAAGGTGATATAGGAAGATCAGTGTAGGAAATTGCAAAAATGACTTCACACATGCCTGAGACCTGAGGCCTCTTGAAGGATTTCTGCCTGTAAGACTATCCATCTCTCAGAATACAAAAATACCCACAAGAACAGCAAAGGCAAGTTTTTCAAATAGTAGTATACATCCAGGGGAAATCTGGGGATCCGGGGAGCCCACTCCTCTCATGGGAGGATGCCTCATTGCCTTGTGCTTTGTATGAACACAACCTTAAGATTCCTATCCTTTGCAGCTTAATAAATGTTACTCTTTCCAATTGGGTCTCTTTGTTAATCACATTCTTGTGATGTCTTGATAGCTATGTAGAAATCACTGCAATGATCCAGGTGAGTGAGGCTGATGGGGAGGATGTGGATGATGGAGACAAGGTGGGAAGAATAGGATAAATTCAAGATACTCAAGGAGTAACACTGTCAGGACTTGTGAATAAACTGAAATAGAGAATAGGGAGATAGTATTGACTTGCAACACTGGATGGGTGATGCTACCATTTGATTACTCAGGGAACACTGAATGAAGACCCAAGTGGAAGATTATCAACTCAGTCTTGGAGATGTTGAGATGCTGAGAAAGCAGCTGGGTCAGGAGCTCAGAAAAGAGATGGGACTGAAGAGATCAGTTTGGAAGTCATCTGCCAATAGGGTTAAATTGATTATATACACAGAAAAGACTGCCGGAGATAAATACTAATAAGAAAAGAACATAGCCTAGGATCGAGACTTTTAGATAATGGAATATTTATTAGCTATAGACAGTAAGATGGGCCTACAAAGCCAGCTAAAAACAAGTAGCTAAAGATGCTGGAAGAAACCCAGGAAGGTGCATGATAAAAGTCAATGGCGTTTCAAGGAGGGAAGGAGCAACCATGTCAATGTTGATGAGAGCTGATATCTTTTTAAACACTGTCTTTAACTTATGACAGATCACCTTGGTCTTGACAGCAGATTTGCTGATCCTGTTGATTTCTACAGGAAAATCTTTCTGTGAATGTAGTTCATAAAACCACATATTAATATCATAATTTTTCATTTGTTAACACTATTCTAATAAACTAGTGGAAAACTAATTTTAAGATTGCAAGGCTAATTAACATTTTGGATAAAAGTATACTTCTAGTATTGAAGTGATTTAGGAAAGAACTCAAAGCTAGAATATCTTGCATAGTCCCATGGGCAGGACTCATACCTTTCTGAGTTTTGGTTGCATTATCTTTTTAATGCTGGTGGGTAGTGGGGCGTAGTGTATGGAATGAGAAGATGGGAAACAGGAAACTTGTTGATCAATAACATCCCATCCCCCTAAGATCCTAAAGTTCATAATTAATTCTGCAGGAATACCAGGGGAAATGTGTATATTTAAACCACACATTTTCAACAGTGGCCTCTTATAGGGCCATAAAATGAATTCTAATTCAAGCTATTTGGTTTAGTTCAGCCATTTCTAAGACCAACAGATATTCTGACATTCATGAAGCCTATTCCGTCATGGAGGATGCTGAACATGCAATTTATTGTTTTCCTAATTTAGAGTAAGATACTATACACTAGTTCATTTCTCATAAATGTTCATATTTTCTTAAGCATTTAATATTAACTCAAGAAGGAAACACTTTCTTGTCCATTTAAAAGCAGTCAACTTTAAAGGTAATCAAACTCAATTTAAAATAAAAGTAGCTCTGGCCGTGCAGTGGCTCATGCCTGGAATCGTAGCATCCTGGGAGGCCACGGTGGGCAGATTGCTCAAGGTCAGGAGTTTGAGACCAGCCTGAGCAAGAGTGAGACCCTGTCTCTACTAAAAATAGAAAGAAATTAATTGGCCAACTAAAAATATTTAAAGAAAAAATTAGCCAGGCATGGTGGCGCATGCCTGTAGTCCCAGCTACTCGGCAGGCTAAGGCAGAAGGATTGTTTAAGACCAGGAGTTTGAGGTTGCTGTGAGCTAGGCTGACACCACTGCACTCTAGTCTGGGCAACAAAGAGCGACTCTGTCTCAAAAAAAAAAAATAGTAGTTCTGATACCTCAGCACTTATAATGGCACATGGTACACAGTAGGAGCTCAGTAAATATTCACTGACTGAATGAATGCTAGGCTTAGAAATTCCACTGGAAAATTACATCTAAACATAGCCAAATCACCATAGTTTCCCTAGCTCCAATATTTATGTCTCACATAAACTATTTCCAGAGTGCACAGCTACAAAGATAAAATCAAAACATGAATAAAAATTGTAGAGATGCAAAGTATGAAAGACTTGTTATTTTTGTCAACATAATAAAGTCTTCACTAACAAAGTATCTTATGGTGTACACTATTTTTCTTTGCCCAATAAAGTATTTGCTTTCTCAATGCCTAATCCTAAAGGGACTTTTCAAAGGTTACTCCCTGTGCCTTGAGAGATCATCACAACTGGTTTCTAGATATGTTTTGTTCACCATTCCGGGCATATTATTGATTGGTTTCAGAGTAAAAACAGTACACAGCAAATAAAAAAGCTCAATAAAGTTTCATAAAATGAAACAAAAGTGAGAGAAATGGGGACCATCTCACTTTGTTTATAAATCAAACCTGTCTCTGTAACTCCCTTTCAACTCTATCAGGGTCTACCAAACTCAGTTCCTACAGCCTCTCAATCTTCTGATTTTTTAGGCCACGCCCTGTGTCTGCACTCCCAGTGTGTGAAATGCCCTTGCATAGAAATTTCCTCCCACTACCTTCCAGTGGCCAGATCCTAACCATCTTCAAAGGCTCAAACATCATCATATCCATGAAGTCTTCTTTGAACTCCAGAGCTAGAAAAAATCTTATCTTTTCCTAAACTGCACAAAGGCAGCAATTTACCTAGGCTTCTTTATAAGATTTAACATGTTCTACCTTACATTCAGTTATAGTTACTTACTTCTACTGTTTATAGTGTGTATTTATGTGCATATACATACTACATATGTGTACAGTACTTATTTTAGTTATTTATTTATACTTTCATCTCTTCTAAATTTCTAAACTCCTTATGGATAGAATTGGTGTCAAAACATTGACACCTCCATTTTTTTGCTTCCTCTATGAGGCCTAGCTCAATGTCTTGCACAGAGTAGGTCATTAGTAAATGAAGGAGCATAAAATGAGTTCTCTTCACACGTTTGCTTTGTAAATAATTTGCACAATGAAATAAACAAAGCCATACAATATGCTAACGCCACCAAAAACTAAGTCATCAATTATAGAAATATGTAACTGACCCCTCTAATCTTCACTCCCTGTTATACAGCAATCTTATCAGAGGAAGTGATTTAACACAAACTCACAGTTAAGTGTCCTTCATGATGGTCTGGGAAATGAATGAATAAGTACTCTGTGGCTACCAGTTGCATTATGGAGTCACCCAAGAATTCCATCCTCTGATTGTGGCCTCTGAAACAAGAAACATCAATGTAAAGAAATCAATAAGCATTTGTGAATTAAAAAAAAGAAAAAAACCCAGAATTTTTTAAAAGACATGATTTAGAAAGGCAATGTGTTCATCCTATTTTAAAGTACAAAATAAATACAATTCCCTAAGGCTTCTCAACTGAGAAAAGATCTGAGTTAGTATCAGTTGGGTTTCAAAGAAGAGTAAAGTGAATACTATCTAAGGATTAAACAATTGCTAAAATAAAGACTGCTAAACATTGCCTGGTCAGAAGATAAGGAGTATCAGTTGAAAAATAAAGTATAATATAGACAACAATCTTAAAACAAAGCAAAAGGGCCAAGAATTTTCTTTGTTAAATCTATTGAAATATATACTCCATTATTCCAGATTTTTAAAAAACCTATGATAAGAATCTTTAATCTTTTAAAGTTTAAAGAGAGTTGGGAATATTTGATATGAAAGAGGGGACCAAAAATAGAACAAAAAACAACCCCAAAGAAATAAATTTTGCTTATTTTCTTAATTATTTCACTAGCTCATCTTCAAATCATTCACCTAGAACAGGGGTCAGTCAGAGAGCTAAATCCAGCCCACAGCCTGCACCTATGAATAAAGTTTTACTGGAACACAGCCATGCTCAAATGTCTCCTATGGCTGCTTTTATGTTACTATGGCAGAGTTGAATGACTGCACACAGACCATGTGGCATACAAAGTCTAAAGTAAGTAATAGATGTTCCAACACGGAAAAAGTTTTTACTAACTTCACATTTCTCTTAAACTTCACAGAGAAACATGGCACATGACAATGGGACCAAAAATACTGAATTGGAGCATATATCCTGGTCCACACTGGCATCTGGCTGCTTGTCCATTTCACAATGTGACTTTCCCAGAAATATGTTTGAAATCCCAATTCCTTTGAAGGACAGACACCAAAGGTTTGAGATTGCCTCATCTAAACGGTCATGTTGAGACTACACGAGTAGTCTCTAACTCACAGGGTCAGATGGTTAAATCCCACAGTTCTCAATGTGAATGCCCTTGCTAGAAGTCGAACGTGAGTAAAAATGACTCCAATTGCTTCTTCAAACTCAGTAAGTTTCTGTAGAACTGGAGAAGTTTCAATAAGTTGTCGATCAGTATTTGGCTCTTGTAGCTACAGGAAATCAGAAATAAATAAAAATTATATGTAGTTTTTGGTTACAAGAGTAATGATCAATTCTAGAATGGTGTTTTGTAAAACTCCTTCTCCCATGGGCAGAAATTCCGAAATGCCAATAAAACATGGAAGCTTCTTTTTCATCTCTTAGAATGGTAAACAAACCTAATATTTAAAGAAGGCTCAAATAATATTTTCCAATCTTCTATCAAATTTCAAGGCCAAGTACTGTATACAGAGAGTTCAAAATCCCGAGTAGTATACCAACTCTCCAAGGAAGATGCAAGCTGAAGAACAGCTGGTAGAGAATATATATATCTAGTAAAGCAATGGTTCTCAAACTTAAGCATTCATAAGAACACTTGCAGGGCTTGTTAAATGCAGATGGCTGAGCCCTATCCCCAAAGTTACTGATTTTATATGTCTGGAGTAAGAACTAAGAGTTTGCCTTCCTAAAAAGTTCCCAGGTGATGCAAATGCATCAGTCTGGGACTGCCCTTTGAGAACCACTGTATTAAAGTAATTTGACTATTGTGTCTTCTAGGAACCAAGGTATTTTGGCAATGAGCATCATTAAAACCGATTTCAGCTCACGGCAAAGATTATTATACCACAAGACAGGTGGTACTCCATGTAACAATGAGCCTTTAACAACTAGCAGAGAGTAAATATGAAAAGTGTAATTAAAATGAACATTTCCAACTAGTTTGGATACTCTAATATTAATAAGATATTTTTAAAGTACTCTGAATTAATGTCATTTATTGCTGTAAAGCTTCTCGCGAGAATTCAACCATTAGTGATTACTCTCACATTTATTTATACATATATACATGTATCAAAATATGCATATATAAGTATATGCATGCATATTGACATATATACATATATCCCAAAGTAAAATTAAAAAAAAAAAAAAATCCGACCAGGCGTGGTGGCTCACTCCTGTAATCCTAGCACTCTGGGAGGCCGAGGAGGGCGGATTGTTCGAGGTCAGGAGTTCGAAACCAGCTTGAGCAAGGGCGAGACCCTGTCTCTACTATAAATAGAAATAAATTAATTGGCCAACTAATATATATACACAAAAAATTAGCACATTTATGCAGACCACACTTTTACTGCTGGTCAATACAACTGTTGACTTGAACTACTGGAATGAATAATTTATGGAAAACCCTAGCACATTATTTTATCCACTGAGTTAAATCTAGAGGCATTTATAATTAGAACTTTCTCAGAATTAAAGTGTTTTTCCTTCAGTTTCAGATGCTAGAGAGCCTCTGAAGTTACTTGCTGGCCTTGATATTAGGTTCTGAAATAAACAACAAATTTTTTTGAAAAGAGGGAAAAATATTTTTCTTAAGTTTCTGGGGGAGATAAGAAGTATAGGAAAATTTATGTATCTTGTGACACAGAGATAAAGTGAAATAAAATACTTAATTTTTTTTTTACAACTTGCACCTTAAAAATATATACTTAAAATTTTTTACAGTATTTTTAAAAGCACTTACATCAAACTGTTCTTAAAGCATTTTAAAGACTTCTTACCAATTCAGAAACCTTTCCCTTAAAATCCCTGTAGTGTGAATTACACTGAATGTTATGCCGTCTTACAACTTCCTCATGTTTCTCAATGCTTTTATTTCCCTCCTCCACCACCCTAAGTGGACATTTACCAAACTTCAGCCCCTTGCCCGACCTATTCATTACCATCTCCTCTGGAGAACTCCCACCATTCTGCTTGCTTTAACTGCTAGCTCAGTTTGGACTACTCATTCATTCCACTGCAGCACTGACCTCTCATCTAAGCTATTGACCCTATGGACTGGTGTCTATAACACTAAATGCTTTACAGCATCTATGACCTTTTAACACAATAAACAAATGATAACTTTTCACCTTTCCTCTTAAACCATGGAGTCTGTTGTTGGGAAGACTGCATAGGTCCAATCCTAATTCCATGTTGGCAATTCACTTAATCTCTCTAAGTCTCCATTTCCTCAAGTATAAGACAAAGATAATTATATTATAAACTGTCCTTGCTTGTGACAGTTCCAATCCCAAATTAATTCCCTGTTTCTCTAATCTGGCCTTAGACGAAGTACAACCAAGAACCTCACATCATTCAGCACCAGCCAGCCTCACAAAGGATGCTGCCTTGGCCTCACCTTACCAAATGCAGTCAGTCAATCTGACTTTGTCGCCTACAGGTTTGTCCTGGCTGTCTTTGGCTGATTAGGTTTCCACAATACCATTTACTCAAAAAGTACAACAGTTCCACTATACATCTCTCATCATACAGGTATATGGATGGGATGTCAAAGGAGTGTAGAATGTCCAAGTTTGTGCATCTGAAAATGCGAAGTGAAAGCTCTGTTATACATTTATCTAAGCCTTGATTCATGTAGTTATTGGACACAGTAAAAAAATTCTGAATCTCAACCATCTCCATTTGTAAGGATAATCATCAGACTTCGTTTTCATTTAGTCATTTCTTCACTCTTTTAACAAATATTTTATAATGTCTGCACATGTCAGCATTGCACTAGGGACTAAGCATAAAAGATAAGCTCGCTATAATAGACAAAGCTAGCAGAGAAGCAGTTTAAAGAAAGAAAAGAATCTAAACACAAACTGATGCAATTAAAACACAAGCTGTAAAAGTGCCTGTGATTCGATGAAAACAGGAACACAGAGTGGATAGGGAAACATCCCCAGAAAAATGGAAGAAGGGACAGGGAAAAAGGTAGGGGTGGTGGAACAAGCTTTGGGGGCAGGAGGAGGACACAGGAGGCAAAATGGGAGGGAGAAAACAGAAAAAGAAGTTGTCTGACTATAGCCAAATAAAGATAAAGGCCAGAACAAAGATAATGTGAGAAAAAGCCTTAAAATAAACACTATCTGCTACAGATACAAATTAAGATGCACATTTGTTTACACGTGTAGAACAAAATGGGGACATGTAACACCTGAATTTTCCCAGTATGAAATTCACACATACAAAACCATCACATTGCTCTAGAAAACAAATCAAAAATCAAATTCTCAGAAATGAACACTGTCCAGTTCATTTTTCAAAATTATTGATTCTTTTTTTTTAAACTACCCAAAATAATACAATAATAACATCTGACAGCACTTAAGCTGAAGGCTTCAGAGAGGTTAAAACACTGGCTTCTGTGTTCTTTAATGCTCCATGAGGGCTATTTCATTCAATATAATGACATTCAATTTGGGATACAGAGTTGCCTCTCCCTTGAAATGTTAAATTGACTTGTTTTTGTACAAAAAGCACCCAGTATGCTCTATTACATGCAGGATTAAAAGGTATCTCTGCAATATTAATAGCTTAATACTTTAGTAACAACAGAAACTGTTTTAGAATCTATCATTTTTTCTTAAACTATAATTTGCTTTAAAAAAAAAAAGTAGCTTCCATACTCTTTATTCATAGCCCTATCAGAAACTCCCTATGAACTGACTTTCTAAATAAATATACATTATCTAGTCTACATAATTTACATAAAAACAAATTATCAACAGAAAAGCAAAAGGCTATCACTTCAACTAAGCCTGCAGGGTAGGTACCCAATGATTATAATATAACATCATAATTAACTTCAAGATACTTCAAAATGAAGTAAGTCTTATTACATTGTATTCATATTTAATTATAAGTGACCACAAAGAAACACAGCATTCAGTGAAGAAAAATTCCTAGTGTAAATGGCCATGGAACTTCCATCTACAAGAGTTGAATAAGCTATTTTTGGTGTCCTAGAAATAGATCATCTATGGGAGGTAAATTTGGGTATTCTGTTTCTCCTACAGACTCTTTAAGATACAAAGACCAATTGAAATAAAATCTTCCATAATGATATATAATTGAGAAAATCAAATGATTCAAGATAAATACGGATCATTAAAGAGTAAGCGTCAAATAACTGTTTGGCTTCCTCTAGACTTCCCTCCAAGTAAACAGCTCCTAGATAAAAGGAAGAAAATGCCAAAAGGAAGTTTGCATTAATATCAAAGAAAATTACATATCTTATAAAAAGCAAAAAGGCAAGCCAAAAACCACTCAAGGAAAAAAAAAAAATTCAGAAGCAATTGCTTTAAAGGTAACATTTCCCTCTTTTAGCTATGCTTTGTATTATAAATTAGACTCAAATACAAAATTCAATTATTAAAAATCTAATATGTAAGTAAAAGAGGCCAAATATGAACTATCATGAAGGGTAAGGGTATAAACCTACTAAAGGAACAATGTACAAATACTGGACTTTACTCAAGAAAATGTTACATTTATTTTCTATTTATAGTTTATGTTTCAGACCAAATGTTAATATATACAGGCATCTAAGAAAAAAGTCCTGATAGACAAAACCTGAGTCTAGAAATGAAGGCTTCTT